TTTCCCCTTAATACAGGCAATCCTATTATTTATGTCCTTGGGACTAGGGGGTTTCAGCTCTGCACTCACATGTAGCCTGGTTCAAGAAAAACAGTTCTAAAGTACCTTTCATGGTAGTAAAATATGAAGCACTTACTCAGCTTACTTCTTTAGCTTTTTGGTCTTATCTTGACTAGAGCCTACATAGTCCAAGAGCTGCTTAGGAGCAGAGTCGATTTGCATGGTCTGCACAACGCTCCGTGAATGCCCCGTGAGCGCCCCGTGAATGCCCCGTGAGCGCCCCGTGAATGCCCCATGAGCGCCCCGTGAATGCCCCGTGAGTGCTCTGTGAATGCCCGAGCGCTCTGTGAGTGCCCCGTGAATGCCCCGTGAGTGCTCTGTGAATGCCCCGTGAGCGCTCTCTGAGTGCCCAGTGAGTGCCCCGTGAGCGCCCCGTGAGTGCCCTGTGAATGCCCCATGAGTGCCCCGTGAGTGCCCCATGAGCGCCCCCGTGAGTGCCCCGTGAATGCTCCGCGAGCCGCCAGCTGTCCAGTGCTCTCTGCAGGAAACAGACTTCACCTCCAAGTTCTGAGCGCCAGACCTAGGAACGCTGAACCCTGATCTCATGTCTTTTAGAAATGGGGAAGTCCTTTGAACTGTGTCTCCCTTCTCTTACGTGGATCAAATAAGTCATCTTTGCTCAGTCTACTGGGATCAGTGCCTTTAGGCAGGCATCCCTAAGAAGTAGTTGAAATGCATCCTGCCTTGAAAATGGATTTATGTGTGCTATCTTAGGATTTCTTTTGAAAATTTTCACTTATCCTAGGTACCAGGTATTGCAAGTAAGTGTCTAATGTTCTAAGAAAATAACCAACCGAGCGTACTTTTCCCCACGTTAGTAATAAAGCCATGGGGAAGTTTCTTACCCAAATGAACGGCACGCATAAACTTTCTGGGTACGCCTCCTTTGTTCTTTCCTCTCTTCTTCCCCTTTCCCAAAAGCTGGCTTGCAGAAGACCTTCCATTGGTCACGAAATGCCACATGACACAAGAAAAACTGCTCTACTTATGTTCAAGCTTGCCTCAGGCTCTTCAGGCTGTCGTAACAAAGTTTTTAGACTGGGCAGTTATAAACCGTGGCAGTGCATTGCCCACAGTTCTGGAGACCAGGACGTCCAAGTCCAGGCACTGGCAGATTCCATCCGGCGAGGGCTCTCCACTTCTCTCGCTGGGCCCTCACATGGCAGCAAGGGCACAGATGCTCCCTCGGGTCTCGTACAGGTCAGAGCCCCACCCTCCAGCCCAGTACCGTCACCTTAAGGGTTAGGATTTCACAATGGAAAATTTAGGGGGACACAAACATTCAGACCACAGCAGAGGTCACTGGGTCATCCTGGGAAAGAGAAACCTGGTATCACATTGTCTCTTCTCCTGGGAGGAACTTGTTTTAATATGTGCATATATTACCAGGTGAAACCCTGAAGACCCTAAATGGCCAGTAAAGTGGTACTGGATTTTTTTTTAAAGAGAGATTTTCTTTGCTATAGGGCACATGTGCTCACTAGAGAGACAAAGTGAGAAATCACCCGCAGGGTGACGGCCACACCGCAGCCCCTACTCCTCTTCGTTCTCTCAGGGGTTTGGGCACATACACACATAATCATTACGCCACCTGCTGGTCCCAAAATGGTACTCATTAAACATGCATTCAAATGAATGCTATGCAGCCCATTCAAATTAGATTTTAGAATACTATTTAATGACATGAATAGATGAAGGCTAAAAACTGTCGAGCACTGCTTTTATGCCATGCACACTTCTAAGCGCGTTCCTCGTGTTGACCCGGGTGGTTAATACAGCAGTCTCATGGGGGAGAAGATTGTTTTCTCTGCTTTATAGATGAGGAAACCGAGGCTCAGAGCTCTCTAGTAGCTTGCCGAAGTTACATAAGTGATAAAGGGGCAGAGCTAGATTTCAGGCTTGAGCAGCTGGGCTCTGCTCCCTTGCTGGGGCATCATTACATATCTCTGAACCTCTTTATGGAACTAGACAAAATGTTTTTAATTTACCTAGAGAAGAAAAGACATTAAAGGTAACCAATCACATTTTGACAAAGCAGAATTGATGGAGGAAAGGAACACAGCATGTCCCGCCAGTAATTTTAAAAATACCATAGTGGAGCAAAAATAGAGAAAACATAGACTAACTTAGAAGACTGTACCACTTCTTGTGTTATCAAAGAGGATGCTGAATGGATATACCAAATGGGAGCAGTGACTATCACTGACTGGCGGGAGTACAGGACTTCTTCCCCCCTCCTCTTCCTCCCTCTCCTTTCCCCTCCCCTCCAGTCTGCTCTCCTCTCAACTTTCCCATTCCACTTCCTTTCCTTCTTTTCATATCATCTACAGTGAACATTTTTAAATCACACAATATTAACAAGTTTATTTTTAATGCTAAAACTTCCAGTCTTAACATTATTTTATTATTGGATCGTCAGGAAAGTCGTGAGGCATTTTTGCATAGAAGAATATATAAAGATACATCATGGCATACATATACCTTGCTGTTTGATTTTACCCATAGTGTATTGTCCGAATTGCTTTTTTGCAGAGTAAATTCTCTAAAATGTTCAATACATTATTCATTTACTTGGGGCTTACATTAACCAGTCACAGAAAATCACCAATTCAGCTCTCCATTTTTGGTAAAGATGGAGAAAAGACAATGGAATAATTCCCTCTGCCTTAAGAATTGAAGAGTTCATAACCTCTGACTTGCTTTCAAAACCTGAATTGTTTATTGATATAGAAAGAAAAGCTTTTGTATTTATATATGTAGCTTCCGTTCAATCACCCTACCGAGCTCTGTACTAAGTTTTGTTCATTGTTAATTGATTCCCTTGGCTTTTCTAGGTATGTAGTCATTTTATTTACCTTTCTTACCAGTATATATGGCCTATATATTCTATAACATTTAAAAAAAGGAACCGTTGTTTAAAAAGAACATATTCTTAAAATAGTAACATAGAAAGGCAGGTCGCATAGCATAAAGTGGAAAAAATTACATTAGAGGCCTACGTATAATAGAACATAGCCTGTACCAATTTATGTGCCTATTTAGTCAGTTTAGATCACCATAACAAAATGGCAAAGACCACAGTCAGTCAGCTCCTCGCAGTTCTGGAGGCTGGGAAGTCCCAGAGGTTCTGGAGGCTGGGAAGTCCCAGAGGTACCGGACCGGGCAGTTGGTGTCTGGTGACAGCTCCTTCTGGTTTGCAGAGGCTGCCTTCATGCTTGTTCTCACAGGGCAGAGCCATTCTCTGCCCTGCTTCTTCCTCTTACAGAGCTGTGGTCCTATTGGCCGAGGGCTCCACCCTGATGACCTCATTCAGCCTCTCCCAGCCCTCCCAAGGTTAGGGCTTCAGTGTACAAATTGCAGGGGGCATGGTTCAGTCCACACTGCCTAAACATTTGCCAGTATCCTGGAAAATCCTATTTGTAATTTTTTTTTCATACAGAATACATTTTATTCTTTCTTATGAAGTTCTTAAGGTACTTGTTACTTCACAGTGTCCCATAGGAATTTTCTCTAAATTTAACATTTTGAATCATTTCCTCTAGACACAAAATCGAATGAAGCTAATGGCCGATAACTATGAGGATGACCACTTCAAATCCTCTCATTCCAATCAAACGAATCATAAACCCTCCCCAGACCAGGTAAGTCTGCTTTTGAATGTTTTATAAACAATGCATTTTATTTTGATGTATTTTGTACTAGCATGTTGCAAATCCTGGGGTATAAATTTGATGTAAAAATTAACCTTGTCAGAGATACGTACTAATTTGTGATGTCCTTACTTTCCTTATTAAAGAGACAATGTCTTATCAGAAAAATGATGGCTCAGTGAGGCACGGCTCAGTGTAGTTTAATTTCTTACTTAACCAGCTTACTTAAGTTTAATTGCAAATTATGAAAGCTCTGCTTATCACCTATTAAAAGTAGAGCTTGAAACTTGCTTTTCTTACTCTATTTCCTCGGTCAACGGATCCCTCCAGCGTGTCATGTCAAGGAAAATTGTGCCTTCAACTTCTCATCAATGCAGAAGACACGCTGATTAGTCTGAAGGGAACCATACCGAGTTCTAGTTTTTTGGAAAGGAACTCTCCCAAGATCCCGAAAGTGATGGATGGGAGAGTGTGGTTAACAGATTACCTCATGTCCCATTGCCCAAAATCAGATTTCAACATCTCCATCGCACCCAGTCTTAAAATACGTAGCTAAGAGAAAGAAATGCTAGTCAGATCATCGTGTCCATTTGACAGAGTCGAGGAAAACTCCCCTGCTAAGCATCCCCACAAAGTGACGGCCATGGCGTGGTCCTAGGAGAAGCTTCTGAGAGATTGCAGATGAAAGCAGCATGATCGCCAGATTGCTCTCACTGCGCAGATCCAGAGTTCTAGTCCCGTGCAGTGTCATCTACTGAGCAGATGGAGGCAGGCCTTAGGTTTTAGGGGGAGGGCAGCGCAGCTCTCCCATGGAGGAGGCCGAGTGCAGTAGGGGGAGGGCAGTGCAGCTCTCCCATGGAGGCCAAGCGCAGTAGGGAGAGGGCAGCACAGCTCTCCCACGGAGGCCGAGTGCAGTAGGGAGAGGGCAGCACAGCTCTCCCACGGAGGAGGCCGAGTGCAGTAGGGAGAGGGCAGTGCAGCTCTCCCATGGAGGAGGCCGAGTGCAGTAGGGGGAGGGCAGTGCAGCTCTCCCACAGAGGCCGAGTGCAGCGCAGCTCTCCCACGGAGGCGCGGCTGTGCGACAGAGGGCGAGGGCAGCGCAGCTCTCCCACGGAGGCCAAGCTCTCCCACGGAGGCCGAGTGCAGCGCAGCTCTCCCACGGAGGCCAAGCTCTCCCACGGAGGCCGAGTGCAGCGCAGCTCTCCCACGGAGGCCAAGCTCTCCCACGCAGGCCGAGTGCAGAGCAGTCTTTCTGCTGTCAGGTGGCGTTTCCTGCCAAGCAGTCACCTTCCTTCTCTGCCTGCTTCCTGATCCCTGAGATTAGACATATGCCAGTTGTGTAAGATGCGTATTAGAACCTTTCTTTGAAGCAGGTTTTGTTAAGGAGTAGAGGGAATGGGATGCCTGGAGCAGGGAGAGACAAACGGAGGTGGGGAAGGGTTGAGCAACATGAAACATACAGGAAAGTCCCCAGCTCGATTCCGCCCAGATCCTTCCCTGGGTGGAGACAGCATCTTGAATAGGTAGGAAGAGTAGCAGTGTAATGCCCAACCGGTTACCAATGTGGGTAGTTTAGGGCATTAGGATCTAACGTAAAAAGCCTAAAGAAATTCTCTTCTGCTACAGTATGCTTATGTCTTTGTTTCCAGTACTAACCGGCTCTTTTTCATTCCCATGCTGCTCTGGGACTGTCCCTTGTCATCTCTCCCATAGGATGAGGAGGAGGGTATATGGGCGTAGCCAATCAGATGCTCTTAGCACAGCCATTTTGTTCAGAACGGTGAGAAAAGCTTTCCTTAACTACAACGGCTCTGTTTGCTTCATTTTTCTTCTCCCACAATCACTGTCACATCGTGTTCCTGTCCTTCATGAAATCATTGGTGTGCTTTCTGTTTCCATCTTCACATGGTTCCTGTGTGCATTGCTGTGCTTCTGACATAGTGGGTTTGGATTTTGTGCTTTTTAAATTTTTCCTCGTGTGTTAATAGTCACTTCTACTCTTTCCTTTTATACATCTGTGGGAGAACGCCCAGGGCATACTCCAGGTGTGACTTCATTAATAAATCACCCTACCTAGGGTCATCGCACAGTGTCCTGGTAAGACTCACCATGACTGGCCTAAAACTGGCAGTAGAAAAATTAACAACTAGTCTGCCATTGGCCTAAGTTTGAGATAGACTTTATGACAACCATAAGTACATGGGCCTCAAAACAAAACGAACTGTTCTGTAAACTAAACCTCCTCGTGCACCTCTCTGTAGAAGATTGCTCTGAATCTCAGGGCCGGAGTCAGCACCGGGCATGTCTACCTAGGACATCCCATAGGGCTCTGACATGACTCTCAAACTGTCCATAAAAACAAGGAGGAGCAAAGGTAAAGAAGACTTTCTGGAAGTCCATCTAAAACATCCTCTCCGTCCCGGTTCACGGGTCACCGCTGTGCTAACCAGTTGCCAGGACACTGTCTGGGCTCTCCCCTCCAGGCCGACTGGCTGGACGTCAGCGGCTGTGGCAGGGCCTTCCTGTGGTCTGATGCCCTAGAGGTTTGACAGAGGAAACCCTCTTAGCACAAGCAGTCACTATGAGGGATGCGCTCACACTCGTGGCCTTGCACGCCTGGACTCCCTGCCCTTGCTCCTTGGTGATCTCACTCCTGGAGGCAGTTCCCCCTGAAGTGTCTGCGTCTCGGCTTAAAGTGATGAGGGCACGTGTAGACCTCTCACTGTCGAGCGCAGCTAAGAAGGATGGAGAGGTAAGTGCTGGAAAGGGGCCAGGTGGGGAGTGGGAAGCTTTCCAAATGTGGTCCTGAGGGTGTGCATGGAAGCAAGATGTACAGTACTGAAATGCACAGAACGCTCCCTGGGTCAGGCGCTGCCCGCCAGAGAACGGAGAGCTGAGCCGTCCGTGAGCTCAGTCTGTCTACACTCTACCAGGGCAGGCGTTCGTCGTCCTGACCCAGCCGTCGGGGTAGTGCACTTGCCTCCTGGGGGAGAGTGTGGCCCTGCCTTGTCTGTCTCGGGAAGGCTCTGGCTAGGGCCTGGTAAGGTTTATGATGGACCCCAGACGTTTCCATGGCCCAGAGAGAGGAACTAGCAGCTGACACTAACCAAGACGCATCGACGGTCGTATCTTCCTTTTATCACCGGAAGTTTGGTGCCCTGTATATTAAACAGTTTTTTCCTTGGGAAAACACCGTGAATTTTATAAAGACATTTAGTCAGTGAAATTTCGTTGGAAGATTATCTGTCAAGCAGCCCTCCCAGCACTGACTGGGCAGAGTACCTCCACGTGGAAGGGAGATGGCCGAGCCCTCTCCCTCAGACTAGAGAATCCGTGTGGCCCGCACGTCAGTTTTCTCTCCGACGTTCCCTTCTGCTCTTTTCATGCAGTCCCGTCTGGTGTTGTGAATTCGGTAAATAAGTAAAATTTCAGCATGATTGGACAATGGTTATGCAGGTTTTTAGTAAATCAGACGAATACGGTTTCTGTACTCTGAAGAGTTCAAATGGACTGGGTCCGATTGCCATCAAGTTGTGTTACACAGCTGCCTTAGCTTGGCTGCCATTGGAAACCACAGACAGGATGGCGGGAAGTCTGAGAGCAGTGCCAGCACGTCAGGTGGGTCAGGGCCCCGGTGAGCGCCTCTTCCTGTCCCACTGTGCTTCCCACATGGTGGGGAGTGAGCGGAAACAGGCTCATGTCTGTCCCTGTAAGGGCACTAGTTCACGAGGGCTGCACGCTCCTGTCTGAAGGCCTCATCTCCAAAGCCATCACAAAGGAGAGACAGTTTCAGTAGGGGTTTTGAAGGGACACCAGCATTCGGTTTCCGGCAGTGGTGTTGCTGCCAGCTCAGTGCAGGCCTGACGGTCTCAGCCAAGGAGGCTCCTTGTAAAGCAGCTCTTCTGTGCCACTGTACTTCTCTACTGTAAGGGTTTATTGTTACTATTATTTTTCCTTATGGTAGAATGTAGGTCCCATGAGGACAGGGACTTTAATGTTCCTTTGATATTTCCTTGATCATCCAGAACAATGTCAAATATGTGGTAGGCCCTCAGTAGGTAAGTAAGTGAGTAAACACTCTCTCTCTATATATATATATTTTTTTTTTTTTAATTAACTTCTGAATTAGTGAAATCCAGAGAAGAGAAAGTTTGCATTGACACCAAGAACATTGAATGGCTGTTAGTTTTAGCACTGCTCGTACAAGAACGGGAAGTTTAAAAATAAGAGCTAGGAAACATTTCTAGAAACCAAAGGACTTTAGAGAGATGTCAAGAATTTAAAGGGAAGTCGTAATGAAGTCCTAAAATCTGGCTCCTATAACTTGATGCTGAATAAGTTGGCCCAGCACGTCCTTCAGAAACCTTGTCCATCTGCAAGCCGAGCACCCTTGCTACAGTACCTGAACGTCAGGTAGGACTTCCTTCTGGTGGCCTGTGGCTCACAGCATCAGGCAGAGCAGCCGCGTGCTGAATCCACTAGAGGATGTACCTGCCAAGCTTAGAAGCTGGGCTTGGGGGGCCCCTCAGTAGGTAAGTAAGTGAGTAAACACTCTCTCTCTATATAGATATATTTTTTTTTTTTTAATTAACTTCTGAATTAGTGAAATCCAGAGAAGAGAAAGTTTGCATTGACACCAAGAACATTGAATGGCTGTTAGTTTTAGCACTGCTCGTACAAGAACGGGAAGTTTAAAAATAAGAGCTAGGAAACATTTCTAGAAACCAAAGGACTTTAGAGAGATGTCAAGAATTTAAAGGGAAGTCGTAATGAAGTCCTAAAATCTGGCTCCTATAACTTGATGCTGAATAAGTTGGCCCAGCACGTCCTTCAGAAACCTTGTCCATCTGCAAGCCGAGCACCCTTGCTACAGTACCTGAACGTCAGGTAGGACTTCCTTCTGGTGGCCTGTGGCTCACAGCATCAGGCAGAGCAGCCGCGTGCTGAATCCACTAGAGGATGTACCTGCCAAGCTTAGAAGCTGGGCTTGG